ACGAGGACAACGCGTGCGAAGTGAGGAGAGTCACTTGATGAGGTGTGCGGACCTTAAGGTTCATGTGCTTTTTAAAATTTACCCATTGAAGAATCGGAGGGCCATGACGTCATGAATCGAAGAATCGGGAGAATCATGATTTCACATGGCGATTTACGGCATGAAATCGCCGGTTCTTCTCTAGAACCGGGCAATTTTCGGTATTTCACTAGAACCGGCACGAGTCTGTCAGTTCCTGAGTCGAATCGGATGAGTCCGGTTCGACTCGCCGACTTTTGAATCACTGTATAAAAGTATTTTTTTAATATTTTTTGAAATTTTTATTTTTAATTATAAAAAAAATCCGAAGTCTTCTCCCGAATCGGGCAAAACACCGAATCGTTTCATTTTTCTCATCAAATCGAAGAAGATCCCAAAGCGAATTTGACAATATTGGCCTAAAGAGTATGCTCTCTCTCTCTCTCTATCATCTAATCATGTTGAGAATGTCACCTTCCACTACTAGAAGTTAAGAAGAGATATATGAGTCTTCAGTGCGCCATAGGCGTACGCTGCGCTCCACAAACCAAGGTAATAGAATGTCAGTTTCCAATCAGATCTGGCTTCTGTCTCCCTGATACTGCATTGAATCTATCCTGGTCAAGGCCCAGGAGATAATGCCGTTATTGATATTCTCTTGGATCACCAAAGTATTAGACCTTGTGCCGCTAAAATTCTATTGATATTCTCTTGGATCACTAAATTATTAGACCTTGTGCCTCTAAAATTATATATGGTGTTCCCCAAAACTCCCTCGCTCACATTACCTCAGAAGAAAATGTCATGGGTGGAAGTCTGTGGGACAAATAGAAAGTCACCAAGACCTAAGTCATCTCAGGCTGGCTCAGTCAGTTCAAAATAAGTCCACAATGTAGGTATGCAGTTAGCAATTTACAGTGGACTAGGTGGTCTCTAAGAAATTGTACACCTTTCATGAAACTTGAAGGCAAAAGTTTGGGATTTGGAAGCTTGATGCTATGCATGATCCCTAGTACCCAGCAGGTAGACAAGTCATTTGAAAACCTGGACTCTAGGTAGGGCAAGTGATCCTTGACTAGCTGGGTTCGATGTGAATGTCCTAGATTAGGAGACAATATGTGATAGAAGGATTTGATCATGAAACAGCCTATACAGCCATGTGACGAAATCAGTCTATCAGTACCAGACTTGGGAACAAAGAGGGAATTAACATTCTCTCAAGATGGCAAAACTCCAGGATCGCCTTATTCCATTTGTCTCCATGAGTGTGCAGATCCCATGTTATATTATTATCTAACCAATGAGTATATCCCCATTTTGTATTTTTCCATACATGTAACTGCTTGTAATTCGACCGTTCCTTCATAGTTTCAAAGTGGCTTTTATCAGGCTCTTCTTGTAATTCCTCATTTCTAACAGTTAGAACTCGTCCATTTTCACTATAAATCCTTCTCTACAAATATAAGTTTCTATTGAGATAAAATGTACAGTCTTCATATGTGTGCTACTGCTTTTCATGAGTTTTATTCGGCTTTGGGCAATTCAGTTATGGTATATATCTTTTATAGGGTCTTCATCAGGCACCCTTTCAAAAGTCCAAATTGAATATTGGGCTGGCCCAATCCGAGGGCCACAAATTAATTTGTTCTTTATTGTTATTTTTATTGATAAATTCAATTCATATGAAAATTGGGAGGTACATATGAAAATTAAATAGTTCTTTATTGTTTACAAGATAATCTCGGTGGATTTGGATCTTTTAGAAAATAAGGTTTAGAAATGATTTTGATAATTGAAACAGTAGGCTTGGAAAGAAAGTTGTGTGGGATCCAGCCATAAGTATATAGAGAAACAAAAGTTCATATCAGTTAACCCTTCTCCAAAAAAGAAGAAAAAAAGAAGTCTATATAGCAGCTAGGTGCTGCAAGTTCTTGCTTAAAATCTGGGAAATAGTGAACCTAATTGCTACCTAGTGTTTTGAAGGGAATATTTAGAAAACTATAAGAAAGTAAAAAGAACCGAGAATCCTAGATCTGTAAAAACTATACCTATGAGAAGCTGAAAATGAAGAGAAAGTAAAAGAAAATGACCACCAGGCCTTACTGCTTGGCACCCAGAGCAAGGAGAATGGATTAGCTCCGGGTTGTGGCTATCCTGGAGATTTGAAAGCTTCCGAAGTAGATCAGATGCCGAAAAGGTAGGTAGAATGTTGTATATGGCTTAATTGATCCAGAGTTTCTATGGAAGAATAGGCGTGTCTAGAGGTTTATAGGTCATGGTTAGGTTCTTGGAATGAGCTGGAAGCTTAGTGTTTTGGAATTTTTTGGAATTGGGGAGACTTAAGGAAGCCTGGGAGAGAATTCCAGTAGGGAGGCTCAGAGGACTTAGAGGGTCCCCAAATTCTGACAAGAGATTAGGTTTTTCCAGGAAGGGTCAAGATTGGCGTAAGAAAATGCATCAAAAAGGATCATCTCTGACTTAGACACTTTCCTTAGATACGCTTTAGGGGCCGTTATTTGGTGTGACGGTAAAAGGCTCGGGTAGCCAGCGCAGGAGCGTGGGTTCGAGTCATGAGAGCGGCCACGTTGTGCATAAAAAGTTAAAGGTTAGGATCGTTTCCAGCTCAGCCCTCCCGGGACCCTGCGAAGGAGGGACCAGCTCCGGGTTACGGCCCTTCTATCCTATAATCAGATTACCACACACCCTATAAAAATCTAAAACCAAACCTCTAGGGACCCTGAATCTCAACTTCTTCAAATCTTAGTAAAAATAGGTCAACCTATAGTCCGTCTTGTAGGAAATTATATGAGCTTCCTAATAGTCCAAGAATTACATCAGTCATGTACTCCGTAGGGAAGATATAGCTGATTTACTGAAAAATCTTGGAATAATGCAAGGGCCTCTATAGGTGAACTATGTCCAGGATCCCTTAGTGCTACTGCCGGACCCAGGAAACCTTCTATTGGATGCCATTTCCATGGGCTGTACCACTTGAGAAGCTTCTGGAAGCTCCGAGAACATATCTAAGGTGGCAAGGACATGTTTTGAGATGCTTGCTTTGATCACATAATCCTGGCTGTTATTGAAAATCCTAATATTTTATCAGAACTCTATACATACTTCACTTCAGGGAGAGTTTAGGATCCCTCTAAGTTGTTCTCTAAGCGTCCCCAAGGTTTAGATTAGAGATTAGAGTTCTCTCCTGAGGTTTGTTAATCTCCTCCATTTCCTCAAAAAATAAAAAAATAAAAAGAGAGAGAGAGAGAGAGAGAGAGAAGCATCTTGTTCCATAACTCGCTGTGGACTCTAGATCTATTACCTTTAAGCTACTTGCAACTATTCCAACTATTTTTTTTGCCCTCTGATACACTTCAAAAGCTCTCTAACATTGCATTGGGGATCACCACAATACGTCAAAGTTTACTACAGGTCCTGAATATTATACTGGAGCGTATTATTTGTGGCTTGTTGGATGTAGCTGAAGCGGAATCATCCATCACTCATTTGTGAATCTCTTATATCACCTGTCACCTTTGTTGCAACCCAAAAGCAAAGCAATAGCCAATAAGAACATCTGTAATTATTTAGAGGCAATTACTACGTTTAGATTCTATACGAATGGAGTGTCTTAGGGGGCATATAGGCTTCTTAGTATGCTAGTTAGTCTGTGCTTGCTTGAATTGGCAAAGTTGGTGAACAGCTGCTTGAATTGGTCCACTTATTTTTTTAAAATGTTGGTGATATATTTGTATTACTGTACCAAAAAATTACAACGTATTATTTGACCCACACCATGTGGCCTGCTTTGATATCCATATACAAAGTACAAACAATGGTGGTTAGGAAGAGCACAGTATACATCATCTGTGAAACCAAAAAACCAAGAAGCTCTTATGATCAAAACTGGGGAACCAAGCTCAAAACATTGCTGGATGGGTTCCACCTGTGAGTTGTGTAGCCGCTCCTTCTCTCACGAGTGCATCCGCACTAGAGATGGCTTCTCACCATGTATGTTGAAAGAATATGTGAATATGCCTTTGGAGGAAAGAAATGTGCTCAAGGTACCATCGGCAGGTGGAGGCACCGGAGGCCCATGCTATAGCATTTCTTGAGTCTCCCTCTATGACGAAGAAGTCCCCCATTCACTTTTGTATCTCTTGATGCCCTCTAAGAGTGCTCCATCGACTATTATATGCTCTAGCTCAAGCGTGGGTGAGCTTCATGTCACATATAAGTCCTCACAGTTCATTAGTTATGAATTTCTATTTATATTCACACACATGTGCACGTGCGTGACGGGCAATTCCCTTTCCATCCCCTTATATCTGATTGCATGTGCATGATTATTCATCTTAAGACTTGAAGATTATTGACTGCAATTTTTGGTGTGCAGGTTCTTATCATATGCAAGGTCTGCACACCCTTTAGAGGTTGCTGAAGAAGCTAGACAATAAGGTTGCAATATTTTCCCCTAGTTTCTTTGTCACTCATTTTTCTTGGTTAATTTATTTTCCAACATTAACATGGTGTTCACCTATGATGCTCAGCCCCGGTACTGTACCTTGTTGATGTCTGTGTGTAGAGTATCTTACAAAAGTGCTGAAATTCCCTAATTTCAGGGCAAGTTTTACCTTAGCAACGATGTCAAGCATATCTAAGCTTCGGTGTATAACAGTTGATGTTACGGGAACTCTGATAGCATACAAAGGAGAACTCGGGGACTACTATTGCATGGCTGCCAAAGCCGTCGGATTGCCTTGTCCAGATTACAAGCGAATGCATGAAGGCTTCAAGGCTGCATATACTGACATGGCAAAAAAATATCCATGTTTTGGCCATGCTGCAAAGATACCCAATGTTGATTGGTGGCACTCTTGTGTTAAAGATTCATTCATCAAGGTACGCTCCAATGCTGTTCATGCTTATAGTCAGAGAATTTCATCAAGGGAGAGTATCATCTACTTTGCCTATTGGAAGAAAAAAGTGTACTTTCACCAGTATGCAAGAAAAAGAAAAATATACATGTGCTTTTCCATTTACCGATATAGGGTTTTTCTTCTTTGATGACAGGCAGGGTATGATTATGATCAGGAAACATTTGAGAAGGTGTTCAAGCGCATCTACTCGGTTTTTGGTTCTGCTGCACCATATACTGTCTTTCCTGACTCTCAACCTTTCCTTAGATGGTTACGTGAGAGAGGACTCATTGTGGGGATTGTGAGTAATGCTGAATACCGGTATAAGGATGTTATCCTCCCAGCTTTGGGGTTGAATCAGGTTCTCTTTCTCCCCCTCTCTCTCTCTTTCTCTCTCACTCACACACACAGTATGTGGCTTCAAACTCAAGGGGAAGTATGCTATGTTTGTTGGACTACAGAAAGCATAGTCTTGGATTCATCACCATCCAATAAGTTGATGGACAAATAAAGAGAGGGACCCACCAGAATGCACAAGACAATGGTAGTGGGTCCTACCTTCTCTCTATCACTCTCCATCCATAGAGACCACAATATGCTTTCCACATCCACAAACTCTCTTGTTATGTTCTTCACTCAATACAACACAAACTGTGGGTTCCCCAAAAAAAAACTCAGCCTATCGGGCAAGCTAGGTTCAATCTCTCTCTCTCTCTCTCTCTCTCTCTCTTGAAATTGTTGAGAAGGTTTGGGAAAGATAGGTAGACTCTCTCTCTCTCTCAAGTATTTTAACTTTTCTGATTGGAAAAATTGGAACATTATGTGGGGGTGTATCAGGGATCGGAATGGGACTTTGGGGTGTTCTCTGGTATTGACGGAGTGGAGAAGCCTAACCCTCGGATATATGAGATAGCACTGGAGAAGGCAGGGAATATTGCACCGCATGAGGTGCTACATATAGGAGACAGTATGCGCAAGGACTACCTGCCTGCCAAGAGCGTTGGCATGCATGCATTGCTCCTGGACAGATTTAAGACACCAGATGCTGAGAATTGGAAAATGTCGGGTGCTATTGTTCTACCTGATCTTGTAGCCACACAGGCTTGGCTCTCTGGTGAAGAAGAGGACATAAAGAAAAAACCAATAAATGTAGCTTGAAACAATGCCTTGTCACCATAGAAATGTGGTTGACTAAGGCTAAATTATCAGTATGGACCACAGGTTGCAGATAACCTGTTTCCGTGAATGTGGTTTCCACTGCATTTAATACTGGGTTTTGAATCAATATATTGCTTAATTGTAAAAGAATCAAATGGGATTGGAAGCAAGGAGTGTAAGTACTTGTATTATAAGCTTTTTGTTTTGCAAGTCTCTTGAAACATTTCTGAGAGAGAGATCTCTGCTGGTCACCATATATGCTTCCTTTTTGTAAAAAAATATTTATCGAATTATTATTGCACCTGTACAATTTCACACACTAGAAAGTTTTTTTCAGTCAGTTGCAAATATTGTGGTGACTTCTTTTTTTATCACACTTTTTTAAGTATTTTGGAGAGCATGGAGATGTGCCACCTCGCAAGATTTATCCTTTCTCAAACTGATGAATTGAAATCCTGAATGGCTAGAAAAGAAAAAGGAAAGAAAAAAGTTATGGGCAAACTGGTGTTGTAGGACTGTGAGCCTCATCACAAGAGATTACCAAAGGAACCAGGGGTTCATGGATGATTGCATTTACAGAATGCAACATTTCATGAGGAGATGTAAACCCATCATTTGTTGAGTAGAAAAGGTGAAGTATTCTTGTCATCTTCCAAAACAGATCCTTACAACACCTGGAATCACACTCCCACGAGCACACACGACCTTACGGAGCAGCTCCCTTCTACGTCGATCGATCACACCCCTCATGTGTTTCATGGCCTCCTCTTCACTAGCACCATGCATATCCTTCGTAAACAATGAAATGCTATTCAATTTCCCTTCCTTTTTCTCTCTCTGCAACAAGCAATACAAGGGAAAGTATAAGCAGAATGGAAGCATGGTACATGCACTCCGATGGAACAACTGTGCAACTGCCATCTATTCCAGATGACTCACGCTAGAGATTAATTGTAGTGGGTGCACAAAGACATTTTCCCAGCTACAGTGAATCCCTCTGTGCATTATCATGAGTGGTGGTGGATCCATATACTCCATTCGTTTAAATAATACTTCCCCCAAAATGCAATTCTCTAGTCAATGCCAACCATTCGGCACAATCTATGACTCTTGATACGGTTTAAGTGATAATCTACCTAATAAGATTCAACTCAGCAGAAGCAAAAGCGATGGTATCATCATAATCCTGAGGACTATGAATAAGGAAGTCCTTAGGATCAACATGACCCATTGAAATGATGGATGGTGGTGGAGAGTGGGACACAACAGGACATGTCAAGAATGAAAATGGAAGGTACCACTCTTCATCACTGTCCATTTCAATGGATGTTGAAGACCATAGTCCATAGGATTATAGCACACACCCCAGTAAGAAAAGAAGAGAAAGTCACCTCGAAACCTTGGATATCATTGAGGAGGCGCCCACAAATACTACTTAGACGGAGTAAATTCTCGTACTCTAGATGAGTGACTACTTCCTCTGAGAGTTTTGGCCCAACAAAATATAGAGCTGGGAGAATGATGGGCCATAAAGCAAATGATACATAACCATTTTTGATATATTCATCCAATGATGGCACAATCTCATTTCTTGACCACTCCGCCTCCTTCATAATTGAATAAAGTAACCTAAGCCACTGAAATAACATACTCACTTGTCACCCAATGAAGCAAAGAGAGAAATACTAAAAGATGAAGCATACCAGAGGCCATTGGTTAATGGTTTATGGTAATCCAAAACTGCATCCACTGCTGGTTACTGTTGGCAAATGGCTAGTGGTGAATAGGAGTGGGGCTCAAAAGGATTTTCACCATGGAACAATTAAAACTCCGACCATCTATCGAAGGATATGGGTGGTGGACATGGCTTAGAGTAACATATACCGTTGTCCATTGGACTACAGAATGCTTTCCAGAAGTAAATAATAAAGTTACAATAAGAAGAATATCAAATAAGTTCGAAGAATTTCTCACGATCTCTATTAAGTGATGCTTTACATCACATCCTTGAGGAGCAAATACTTCTGTACCAAGTTCAGTAATGACATCACGAAGTGCAAAGAATATAATCTAGACATTTTCATAGCAATAGTTTACTACTGCACTTTCATCCCACCTGTAATTCCATTTATCATCATCATATAGCTGCTTCTGAAAATCACAAAATAAAAAGCAAAGCATACCACAATGGGCTAAGGATAAATTATAGTACATTGGGTCATCATAGTGCACTCAAGTGGATGGCAATGGACATATAAAGGGACCCACCAGAACAAGAAATAAGCCCAATGGTGGATCCCACTCTCCTGTCACTGTCTCTCTCTTGAAAGGATGGTGAAGTTTCGCATTATTTATTAGAATATATTGTGTTCCTCAAAAACCAGTAGAAACATGACACACCCTTGAACCAATTCGATAAAGTTCTCAAGTTCTTCCTTTGAGCCACCTATGTCAAAGAAGTCATCTATCACAGTAGAGAGAATCGCGTTTTTGGCCCATGACATTCGAGCTGCACCTAAATCAGGCTCAAAAAGAGTGGCTGCCGCAGAGAAGTAACAAAAAGTCTGCTTCTGCCTAGCAAACTTTAGTTGGTCCAATCTCCATTCTTTCACCCTCCTATATACATTACATTGAAAGTCAAAAGATATTTCCTTCTTCAAAGCTTTAACAGGTAACTTTTTTTAAACATCAAGGAACAAAACATACCTGTCTAGTAGTTCAAGTTCCTTTTGGTGTATGGACTGGCAGATTTTAAAATCTTCAATTGCGAATTCGAGCATATCTTTGTTGCTGATTTTGTTTAACCTAGTATACGCGGAAAGGTTATCAACAGCATTGATATTAGCATAATGTCATTGGTCTGGGGTGATTTCCAGAGCTTACTTAATGCTGTTTTTGCAATCCTAATATTGCCAACACCGCATTGCTCAATATATCTCCTATTCTCAAGGCGCTCCAACATGGAGTAGTACGGAAACATGATGTTATGCTTCACCTGCGAAACTCAAGGTTACAACTTCTCCAATTTTTATAACTCGCTTCTACACGCAGACACACACAAGCTGCTCAATATTTTTGGACAATTAATGCCCTTGCTCCAATGATGGAAGCTTAATGTTATTTGTTATAGGAAAAGTGAAGCTTGTTGGTAAATGGACAGGCATCTATTTGTTATTGAAGACTATGACATCACCCAGCATAGGGAATGACATCACCCAATAACCACATAGGCTGTCTTATGCTGTTTAACATCAATCAAATGCCCTTACACCCTACAAACAATGTTCACTTTGCCCATGACAATAGAAGTAAATGCATCCATAATTAAGCATGTCTCAAATTCAGAGGTAAGGGAATGAAGTCTCCAAAAATTTTAGGAGCAGGTCAAACAAGTCCCCGTGCATGTGTGTTTTTGAGTTTGTTATCAAGCCAATGTATGAAATACCTCTCTAGTAATGTCTTGATCAACCACAGCTGGTTCCTTTTCCATCTTGATCAATTGTTGCTTCAGGAAATGACTAGACCATGAGTGTAATTTTTCCAAGACTGGTTCGTTGGGGAGTATCATGATCTGTGAAGCTCGGTGCATTTCTAGAACTGTATTCATAATAGTATGGTTGCCTTCTTCATGGCTGGGGAAAAGATTCTCTTCGTTGAAATGACCAAAGGCATCTGCAGCACAAATGAGGTGACCCCTGTCATAACAAATTTAACAATTATGCCATGATCTCTCTCTCTCTCTCTCTCTCTCTCTCTCTCCATGGCTCAGTTAGAATATACCAGAGGAAACATCATAGCCATTCATTGTAAGAAGCCGAATGACATAGCAGTTGTTGAAATATCTGAAAATAACTCTTCGTCATTGTCTAGCCAGCATCTGCTACTCAATAAGAGCAAGCCAAGTTTTTCAAATATTTAAGCATTCTAAACTAGCATGAAAATTTTAGTCATTATGCTCCATTACCTATAAGTATCATCCAGAATTACGCCAATTTCATCCCCAAAAGGCCTTGCAACTCCCAATATCTCAACACAGTCAACTATGCACAGACGGGTATAGATATCCAAAGGATAAGTTGCAGGGACTGCCACATAAACAGTTAAAGAATCATGATATAACAACTGCAAATCCTAGGGATAATGAACAGCATACCATATTCACCCTGTTTAGGATACATGGTAAACAACTAGAGTATCCACTCTTGATTCTCAACTATGTAATGATGAACACTACTGTAGTTCCTGATGATTTATAGCAACTTGGCTAAAACTAATCTCCATCATGCATTGCAGAAAATTGATTCCTTGGCTAAGAACCATATACCATACATAGTTTGTGCATAGTTACTTTTCCATCAGCTTTCATGACAATAATGTGGGATCAGAGTTACCTCCATTGCCAATCGTTTTTAAGAGTTGATGCAAGTAATCTTGGCATTTAGAATTGTGGAAGTGGACGAAGGCAGCTGTGGTGGTTGATGGAAAAGTAAATAGAGAACCATTATTCCGTTGATATTTTAAAACCTTATCCTGCTCAAGTAATTTGCTACATCCCTCTGAAATATAAGCTAGATAGGCCTTGTCTCTCTCAATATTGCTTCCAGATATCCTGAAGGTGAAACAAAAAATAATGTAATTGGATATTCCCATATATGGGAGTTTGACATGACAAAGTGTGGCTTTGATAAAAATGACACAAAAAAAATAAAATCCATTTCAAACATATGGCCAATAAGACTCCATCAGGGTGAGGGAGATGAAAGCATGACAAAGCCCATACGATCAGAGATAGTGACATCTTTCTAGATAACTTAAGGCTACATTGGGTGCGGATATGAGAATGAGTTATTTTTAGCATGCTGCTAGTGTGAATGTCCTTTTCCAAGTGATTGTAAATGTTTTTACATTAGTAATAAATTCCGTTTCTTTTATGGTAACAATTGTAGATTCACCATATAAAAGCAAAACGAAGTTCAAAGTTACAAGAACTACATGAACTGAAGTACCATAATGGATCCAAATGCTGATACGAAAATATAGCTCTATTGATACCCATAGTTGTGTAAGGAACAAAGAACTATGGGCGCTCAGAATGCCAACGAACTAACCAGTCCTATTTATGCATGCATATGCCAATGCGTCGTCCCCCATCAAGTAGGATTCCTTATTTGCATGATAAAAAATTCTGCAAAGATTTATCTTAAGTCCCCAAGGAATCCATTGCCTCGGAGTCCTCCAATAACATTAAATGTGTCGCATTCAATGCAATTAAGTAATAACAGAACCCTTTTAATGCTTCTGATTCGGTGGAGGAATGATGGAGGCATATATGGACATATAGAATCTGTGTGCCAAGGTGACCTCAGAAGCATTTCACAATCTTCCATCAATATGTCTAACAACCCCTTCTCCCCTTGTTGGTCTCAGGTTGCCCTTCGAGCAACTATAAAACTTTACACTCCAACGAGGTTGAAGAAACACCATTATTCAGTTTTTCCCAGTCATCCTTAGGATCTTTCAATGACGACCATCCAGCCTCAGGTAAAACACGAAGGTTTAGTGCGTTCTTTCCATGTTGCTTGATCTGCTAAACTATCTCCTCTGATATTCTCCATGCTGTGTAATTTAGTTCACTTTAAATATCTTATTTTCCCTTCCATATGCTCCAGAGAGAAGTAGGAAAAGTGGTCTACGTTGAGAATCCTCAATTATTCTAGCAAGACTCTTTCCGGTGTTTAACATGCTTCTAGAACGACTAGGTGCAAGGACAACACAAACAAGGCTAGTACATAGTTATATGACTTCTACCTTAAAAATAATTGAAGAAAAAGATGGTCTATTATTTCTCAAGTCATTGAAGGCATCAGAACATTGCTATTATTTTTTAAAACACGATATATTGTATTATATGAAAGTGATAAGCTCTAACCCTTTTATAAATGGGGTCAGTTTGTACAATGCAACATTTACAGGGTTTGCACAACCCAAACAACCAGGGTTTGAGTATACAATAAAATAGGAAAATTTCAAAAGAGTGCAAAGCGCAGCAGGGCCTCACGTCCCAAACTGTGTTGCAAGATATCTGTATTTTGACGGACCGCCCCATCTTGGGCTAGTGTGTCAGCTGCTGAGTTGGCGTCTCTCCAGACATAGGCAGCAGCTTATGATATCCAATATTTCCTCAAAGAAGCAAATGGATATAACAAAATCATTTTTCTTGGACAAGTAATGCAGATGTTGGGTTTTCTGTGTTTTGTGTGGATTAGTGACAAAGATATTTTGGAAATTTAAAACTTTTATTATGGAGATCACCTGTTGTTAAAATTTTGAAAAGGAAAAGCAGCTATGGCAAAGTGGACACTACTGGGGGAGTTCATCCAAAACACATGAGCTAGAAATAAGGCTCTACCAATGCCCACAATTTTGCTGTGTATGGACCTCACAAAATAGTAACTTGCAGATTCATGAAACGAGATGCACTTGCTCTATCCAATTTACACTTTTATAATGCACCTAGTAGAGATGAGGCACTGCCAATGGCTGATAAGAGGCATTAGTATCCAATTCGCGAACAGAATTACCAGAAGATGATCAATGGTGGTAGACCAAGTAGCAAAATGGTCTCCCAATCCACAAGCTCCCAACAGAAGGTTTAACTAACTGCAATGAAAGAGTTTGCAACTAGAGGTTGATGTGTGAGACATAGTCGTTGTTGTACCCCACATGATCCTCTATAGTTAACTACTTCTAAGTTCTAATGATTGTCTATTACAATACAATTTTCAATCCGAAATCCGAAAACATACTATAATATGAAAAGACCATGGATTTTTGAATATCTTGTGCATTACCTACCATGTAAGCTAGAATTCAATTAAAGTGGGATTCTAGCATAGCATGATATTCAGAGACAGTAAAAATGAGACCATAAAAAAGAACAAACCTTCGAATTTCAGAACTATGTTTAAGTAGCCTGGCTTCAATAAAATGGGTAGAGAAAGGTAAATTCAATCCCAATTCTATGGCATTTCCATGCAATCCCCCAAAGATAACATCAAACCCAATTGGGGAAAGCTGGTTCTCATCATCAGCAAACTTGGTACTAGACCCAATGAAATCCAACCCTGCAAAGAAGTAAATGAAGAAAAAATTAAGCACTAAGGGGCCGTTTGAATACATAGAAATTACCTGGAAAACTTTGTTTCCTTTGAAATGCATTTCTTCGTAAAATTATTTCCTATAAAATAGATTTCTGTTGTTTGAATGATACATGGATGCATAAGAATTTTATGGCTTTTAATTTTTAATTTTTTTTTAATTTTTTTATTAAATTCTTTTGGTTGTATTATTTATTTATAATATTTTTTCCATTAAATTTGAGACAGTTTCCCTCTCTTAAATTTTTGACATAATTTCTCTATCTAAAAATTTTCTAAGTACTTTCTCTCTTTAACATTTGAAATAATTTATCTATCTAAAATTTGAAGATATTTTCTCTCTTTAAAATTTAAAATTTGAAATATTTTCTCTCTGTAAAAATTCTAAGATTTTTTCTATCTTTAAAAATTTCCTCACTCACTCTCTATCTCTCAAATTAAAATTTCCTCTCTCACTCTCTCTCTCTCTCAAATTTGATATAGTTTCTTTCTCTCGAAAATTTTAAGATATTTCTCTTTTTAAAATTTAAAATATGAGATAATTTCTCTCTTTAAAAAATTTGGGATAATTCACCTCTAAAATTTTTTATGTAGTCCCTAAAACTTAATATATTTTCTTTCTTTAAAATTTTAAGATATTTTGTCTCTCTAAAACTTAAAACTCGAGATAGTTTCTCTATCTAAAAATTTAGAGATGGGTTATATCTCTAAATTTTAAAGTACATTCTATCTCAAGAACTTAAAATTTGAGACAGTTCTCTCTCTAAAATTTTTCAGTATTTGCTTCCTCTAAAGCCTAAAATTTGACATGGTTTCTCTCTGATATAGTTTTTCTCTCTAAAATTTTAAGATACTTTCTCTCAAAAAACCTAAAAATTGAATTGGTTTCTTTCTCTAAATTTTTTGAAATAGCTTCTCTCAAAAACTTTTATAGTACTTTCTCTCTCTAAAACTGAAAACTTGTGATATTTTGTCTCTTTAAATATTTTGAGATAGTTTCTCTCACTAAAACTTAAAATTTGAGGTAGTTTCTCTCTCTACAAATTTTGAGATATTTTCTCTTTCAAAATATTAGAAGGTACTTTCTTTCTCTAAAATTTAAAATTTGAGATAGTTTTTATTTACAAAATTTTTAACAAATTCATCTCTCTAAAACTTAAAATTTGAGATAGTTTATCTCTCTAAAATTTTTGAGAAGGTTTCCCTCTCTAAAATTTTTAAACGTCCTTCCTCTTCCCAAAATTTAAAATTTGAGATAATTTCTCTTTTAAAATTTTTGAGATAGTTTTTCTCTTGAAACTTAAAATTTGAGATAATTTGTCATTGTAAAATCTTTCAGGTACTTTTTCTATTGAGAAGTTAAAATTTGATATGGTTTCTCGCTCTAAGACTTAAAATTTGAGATTGTTTTCTCTCTAAAATTGTTGAAATAGTTTATCTCTCTAAAATTTTCATATTTTATCTTTTAAAATTTGAAATAGTTTCTCTCTCTAAAAATTTTCAAGTACTTTCTTTTTATAAAACTTAAAATTTGAAATAGTTTCTCTCTTTAAAAATTTTGAGATATATTCTCTCACTAAAACTTAATTTTGAGATAATTTCGCTGTTTAGAAATTTTAAAATGGTTTATCTCTAAAAATTTTCAAGTACTTTTTCTCTCTAAACCTTAAAGATTGAGATAGCTTCACTGTCTAAAACTTTTGAGATGGTTTTTCTTTCTAAAACCTTTTTAGGTACTTCTTTCTCTAAAATTTGATATAATTTATCTTTCTAAAATTTTTGAAATAGTTTCTCTCTCTAAACCTATTTTAGGTACTTCTCTCTCTAAAATATGATATTGTTTCTTTTTTTAAAATTTTAAGATATTTTCTCTCACTAAAATTTAAAATTTTGAAATAGTTTCTCCCTATAAAAATTTTGAGATAGTTTCTCTCTAAAAGTTTTAAACAGTTTATCTAATCTAAAATTAGACAGTTTTTCTATCTAAAATTTTAAGATATTTTCTCTCTCTAAAACAACTTTAAATTTGAGATATTTTATCTAATCTAATTTGTGGGGATGTTTTGTTGGGATTAATTGTATTTTATAAAGTAGACATTTGCGTAACGAGAAAATTTCGCTGGGAATCAATTTCGAAGGGTAAAGGCCAGAATACATATTTTTTTATTTTTGGGTTAAAATGAGGAAAACAATTTCTAATGAAAATACTTTCCCGTCTTGAAATTTCCATCATAAATGTATTTCTAAGTCCAAAGGAAGGAAAACCTTTATATAAGGTGTGAACCTCATATTGTAGAAGTAACATACACTTCAAAAACCCATTGAAAAAGGTTGTTTTGTTATTAAAAAATATTCTAATCGATCATCTTGACTTTGATCCTTATAGATATGAAATAAAAAATGAATTTCAAGTCTTAAATTTAATCTAGTATATTATCTAGACAGTCTATGTTCAAGATTTTCGAGTGTTTATCGATATATTAGATTTGCACCATTTTCATTATAGGGTTGAAAAATAAACTTCAAGAGTTTTAACAATGAAAATAATATTTTAATGAGATTTTTGAGATGCACCATAATTGTTTAAGGTTGTGACCTTATACAAACGTCACCCAATGGAGAAGAAGGTGAATTCTTACTTACCTCTATTGATATGATCCTCGCCGATATTCCATTTTTTGAGAGAGAGAATGCAGGCCAGTGTAGAAGTGAGTGAGTCTTTGATGAGGTGAGGATGGTTGTTACAGAGGCCCCAAGAGCCATTCGGAAATTGGTTCTCCAACACCCATGTTAAACACTCAGGGAACAGAGGAGAAGAGCCATTAGAGGAAGAGAGAGATGGGACCATGGCGACCCAGGCCGTATCATATGCCGATACAGAGAGCTTTACATGCTCAAACATCTCCCTGATCCTCTCAATCTTCGACCCATGCGTCTAAAAAACACGGAATCAGGTTTGAAAAATCGGAAACCCAAGTTTCGAAACAGCTACAGAGAGAAACAAATATTGAGTATAACACAGAAGTGCAAAATAGAGGAGCCAACCAAAATCTAAAAGCAAGGGGAGTAGTACATACCAGAGGAGAAGAATCATGGCAGCTGGCAGTTGCAGAGAGAGAGAAATATGAAGGAATAGATTTGGTGGGGAAGTAGAGCAATGGATGATGGGGAAGAGAGTGAAAGGAAGAGAGAAGAGGCATGTATAATTGGGGTTTACTCTTCATAAGAGAAGCAGAGCTTCCCAAATGGCAAAAGGGAATCATGGCTTCCGAGTACTGACAATGGCTATATATTTGTCTGGAAAGGAAATGTTTAACAAGTTTTGCTTGTTTTCAACAAGTTGCATCCCCCATCACCTTTTCATGTTGCAGGAGAGAGAGAAAGAAGCGGGTCCCGCGTTAGAGTGTGTCCGCATGCATGCAGAGGAATGCAAGTAGGGCATTTACGCAGAGAGCCCTATATACTTGGCGAACAGAAAATACAAAGGGAAATTTACAAAAAATTGCTATTTTATTGTAAATAGTAATTATATTTTAGAGTCATGATATGGTAATTATACATGTGGGTATTTCTCTAAGGGTGCCAGTTTGCATACCCATGCATCTATATGTTGTAAAATGCTCTAGTTTTTAGACTTAAAAATCTTTTTCTTTTTCATAGTCATACATCTTGATGGCGAGATGATCAATCAAACAGTTTTTCAACATTAAAACTACCATTTCCGATGGATTTTTTAGGGACATCCGTAGTTCTACATTATAAGGTTGTATCCTTATATAAACTTTTTCCTTTCTTTAATGTACTCAATATTTTTATGTATTTAGTATCTTTATCATGTAATTTAGTAATTTTTTGTTCAGGGGTATTTTATGTAATTATTTAAAGGTAAAGTAGAAATTCATGACAAAAAAAAAAAAATATATTAACTATAGTGGTAAATAACAACATCCACAGAGTGTGACATCACCCATATTGAGCATTGATTGTGTCTTGACCACTAATCAAGTGCTACTAAATTCTTATAGAATTATTAATTTTACCTCTCTTAATAACAAAAAATGTCGTGTTAAAAAAATACTTGTACTACAAAGCAAGGGTAATTAGTGTCCACAAATGTAGAGTACATTAAGATAATACTTACATGCATGAGTACCCTAATATAACTGTATATTTTATAAGATGTAGTTTCTGCGAGGCCTATGAAAAAAGAGAGAGTATAGCCTAGCCTTGAAATCTTATTTGGAAACAAATCCCTAAGATGGTTCTAAAATCTATATCCACCACTAGTTGTGAAATTTATAGTTCAAAATATGGTATAGATCTTGTGGATTTATGAACATTGGAAAATAGACAATTTAGAAAATGTGTCACCATCATTGTTCGTAAAATTGCCCAATCTAACCGTTAACCGCCCGGTTAGATCGGAACCGGCCATTAGCTAGTTTCGGTTTTGTGTGGTTAGGGTGATCAACCGGTATTTTAAAAAAAAAATTTTCAAAATTTTTTAAATATTCTTTATATTATAGTAAAGATTAAAATTATTTTTGGTCATTAATACTCACTTTTATATTTTCCATCTTTCTTAGAAAATTTTTAAAATAGCCATTGAAAAATATAAAATGGGTTAAAATTTATTTATTTTATTAATTTTCAAATTTATTTGAATGTATTTTGTTTTAATCATTCTTTATATGTTTTTCATATTTTAGTAGATTTTTTTGAATTTTTTGCAACACTTTTTTTTGGCCGCCCGAGATTTACCCGGTTAGAGCTGTTGAATCGACCGGTTTACCGATTAGGCTGATTAAACCGCTTCCAGGCCCATGTCTGATCAACTGTTCTGGTTGGATTTTACGAACACTGGTCACCATATACACTATTTTTATAGCTTGAAATCCTAATTTTTTTTCACTACCATAATGATCAAGACCGAGATGATTGATTTGAAAGCTTTTACCTACGAGACCTATAACTTTCGGTGAGTTTCGAGGTGAGATTTGACTTTTTTTTCCATAAAGCCTCGAGCCTTATTTTAACCTATATCTATTTTGTATTCGGTGAGTTTCGAGGTGAGGTTTTACTTTTTTTTTCCATAAAGCCTCGAGCCTTATTTTAACCTATTTTTATTTTGTATTTATATGCAGTTTGTACAAGGTACCAACCTTAAACAATTAGAGTGCATCAAAGTAAGGTGCCTCTCCAACCATCTTGGAAGATACAATTTTAATGTTAGGAATACTGAAGATGACTTGAAAATGGGGAAACTATCAATTACGGGTTGAAGACGCTTACAAAATCACTGAAGGGTCGAATGACCACAAATTACCTTTGAAAGTTTGCTTTTAAATTTTTAATTTAAATCATATAAATGCTTAATAAAAAATGAAAACTTCTCAAATTTCCTTTATTCAGTATTTGCCAACCCTAAAAAATTAAGAGCATTTTGATAAATTTACCCTCAAAGAGGTATTAACAGAATGACAGAAGTACCCTGCTTCTTCAGGAGCCAAGGCAAATACCCCTTTTTAGGATTCAATCTCAGGCTAGAGTTGTTAGCACAGTGCCACGTCTCAAGATTCTGATTGTCGAATACAAAAAAAAAAAACAAAAAAAAAATGGCAAATACTCATTATTGTTCCTCGTTTCAAATACCAAATAGGTGGTCTGGTATTTTTAATGCCCAAGCAAGCATACTTTTGTCGGCCGTTTTCGGCCTAAAATTACGAAAATTAAGTATTTTTGTTCTTCAAGACTTCCGAGCACCGAACATAGGCAATTTGATAACTTTTAAATGTTAGCTTTGAGGAAGTACCTAATTAAATAAAAAATTAAAAGCAAACATGCAAATGTAATTTGTGACCATTTGATGTCTTTAGTGGTTTTCTAAGGGTTTCAACCCCCTAATTGATATTTTCAACACAAAATCTTTTTTCATCTTTAATTATAAAATGTAAAGCTCTAAAAAGGTATTGGTTAAGTAGATCTATAAACACTTGAAAGTCTCCAAAATAGATGGTCTAGATAATATATTACAAGATGTATTTTTTTAAGACTTGATTTTTCTATTATTATTATTATTATTTTTTATTTATTTTCATATCCATGTATTTCGAGGTCAAGACAATTAATTGGTAGGATTTTTTAGTTTTGAGATAACCTTTTCTGGTGGGTTTTTGAGGTGCACCTTAACTTTTTGACGTGTATATTAAATATGCTTATCAAAGTATTAATTTTTAGAGTGATTTACACATCGTCCTTAAAACTTTACCTAAAATATGAAATGGGGCAATTTTGGTGAAAATTACGCAGAAGATCAATTAACTTGCGTTGTTTTTTTTTTTTTTTTTTTTTTTTTCTTTTTTTAAATTTTTTTTTTTTGTCCCTCATACTGATGATGCTGTCCTTAGACTGCATTTTAATTTTTTTGTTAGTAGGGCGGTGCTCCAAGCTTTAGGGGTAGTGCCCAGGCAATCCGAGGTTAGAATCCTCAGATCGCCACGTGGATTGACCATGCCTCATTATTTGAGCGGTCTGAGGTCTCCAACCTCATGCCTCTATTTATTTATACTTTTTAAGAAAAATAGTGGTCTGAAGTCCCCATCTTCAGATCACACTTTATTTCTTATTTTTGAGAAAAATAGCAGTCTGAGGATGGGGACCTCGGACTGCTCACTGAACAGAGCAGAACTCAATTCCAAGGCGGTGTCATCCTCGGACCACACTTTATTTCTTATTTTTTGAGAAAATCAGTGGTCCGAGGATGGGGCATCGGACCGCTCTACTAGGGTTTTCCTTTGTTTGTAAGGCGGTCTAAAGATTCTAAATTTAGACTGCCTGGGCATCGCCCCAAAAGCTTGATGCACTGCTTACTAAAAAAAAAACCTAAAAAAAGAAATTCAAAATGCGGTCCGAAAATGGAGGGGTGATTTTAAAAAAATGAAAAAAAAAGGGCTGACCGACCTTTACTCTAACTTTTAAAGTTATTTTCGGGGTTGTGAGATCAATCAATAAAGCTCCAATCCAGCCCCTGATTTCACATTTAGTGGTCAAAGTAAATGGGATCCCCTCGAAATGGTCATAGTGTATACTTTTCCTTTTTAATTTGGGTCCTAGCACGATCAATGTGGGACAGATTAATTGGGCCAATATAAGGTTGGATCCACGTTACCAACCCAATCAAATAAAATGGAGTTTGGTTTCCACGTTAATAGGAATGATATTTTAGTTCTTTTTTGGAGGTGTGCATCTTTGATGCGATGTATACCCACTCTTAAGCGCTAAACAAAGAAAATTTCCAATGAAGAGGTCTTTAAAGTTTATTTTAAAAAAAGTCCATTGTCTCAAAACCTGTCTTCTACTACAGTATTTAAACTTTTCAAGGTATCCTTCACACTAATATTCGCTTCCACTACAAGGTATCCTTCCCACTAATATTCTCTTCCACTACAACTTCTCTACCACAAGTTCGAGTTTCTTTTCTTTATTTATGCCCATCGTCTAATAGGGGTGAGGAATTTCAACTTTCCCAAGCCTTACAAGGGTTGAGTTGTATTATATAGACAACAAACTTAAACTTTGCCACATCTTATCATTAGGGGTGGCAACGGATCGGATTGGATCTGAGTTCAGCCTGATCAGAAAAACAGTTATGAGACTTGGACTCGGACCCGACCAGACCCGAGGTTATCAGACCCAGATACGAACCCATATCTAATTGGACCTGACCCAAAAATAAAAAAATAGATAGTTAAATATATTTAAATATTGGGTTAGACCTGAACCAAAATGTTTTTTTAAAAAAAGTTAAATATGTAACCCATAAATATTATGTTAAATATATACATGTATTATTTAAATATTATAACTAAAAATATAGAGTTATAATTATTTAAATGTTAATTAAATATTATTAAAATATTTTATATTAAATATTATTTAAAAAACTACTTGGCTCGGGTCTGCATGGACTCGGACCCATACCCGATTAGTGTTCGAGTCCAATATTTGGACCCAGAGCCAACGTGCCAGGTGCAATTTTTGGACCCATACTCGAACCAGGTCGGGTCTGGTCATCGGGTCTCAGGTTAGGTACGGTCCATAGCCACCCCTACTTATCATGAATTCTAAATCTATAGAATGGAGAAACAAGAATCATGTAGTCGATTCCAAATCATTTGGATACTACTTGATGATTCCTACTCATGTTCAAAGGCCTCGCATCTTAGACATCTAGTGTCCCATTTCACATTTGAATTTCCAATCC